GCTTGAGAAAAATGTGTATTCTGCTGCTATTGGATAGAATGTTCTATATGTATCTCAGTTCATTTGTTTTAAAGTATGGCTAGTTCCAATGTTTCCTTGTTGATTTTTTGTCTGGATGATCTATCCATTGCTGATAGTGAGGTGTTGAAGTCCTCTACTATTATTGTATTGTCTTTTTATACTTTAAGATCTGTTAGTATTTGCTTAATGTATTTCGATGCTGAGATGTTGGGAGAATATGTATTTATTATTGTTATATCTTCTTGGTGTATTGACCCCTTTATCATTGTGTAATGACCTTCTTTGTCTCTTGTTACATTTTTGGCTTAAAGTCTACTTTGTCTGATCTAAGTATGGTTATATCTGCTTTTTTTTTTTGGTTACTATTTGCTCAGCGTATCATCTTCCAGCCCTTCACTTTGAATCTGTCTTTGGAGGTGAGGTGAGTCTCCTGAAGGCAGCATATAGTTGGGTCTTGTTTTTTAATTTATCTAGCCACTTGGTGCCTTTTGATTGGTGAGTTCACCTATTTACATTTAGAGTGATTATTGATATATGAAGACTTACTACTGCCATTTTGTCTTTTATTTTCTGATTGTTTTATGTCTCTATTGTTTCTTTTTTCTTTGTGTTTCTATTTACCTTTTTAGGTTGGTGGTTTTCTGTGATAATTTGCTCACTTTCCCCCTTATTACTGTTTTGTGTCTTTGCTCTAGATTTTCATTTTGTGGTTACCATGAGGTTTGTATAAAATGTTTCAGAGATAAAACAGTCCATTTTATGCTGATAACTTATCTTCATTTATCTACACACGTTCTGTCATTTTTCTTCTCCCCTTTTTATATTTTTGTGCCCTTTTTTATGCTATGTGTTTATTACCAAATTACCAAACCCTGTTAGGTTATGGATGTCTGACTGGTTATGAATTGAAGGAGAGAGACAAAGGGAACAACTCATGCCACCATAATGCTCAACTCTTTGTTTCTTAAAACACAAAATGAATACAATTGAACATCAGATCCCTCCAATTCTTTCCATCTGGTCTCAGAGCAGAGTGGAGACAAAGTGGGTAGGGTGAGTAGAACAACCTAGATTTCTTCTAGAACATGATTTTATGTTTATTTGATTGGAGATTCATTGAAACATTTGTTCACTCTTAAGAATTTCTCTGAAATATCTAAGCAGGGACATATTTTAGAGTATTGACGCTAATTTAGAACTTCTGGTAAGAGATGTTCCTGGAAGTCTAAAAGTTTGTGGCCAAATATTTGGGGTATATATTTTGGGACAGGTAGATTCTTAGATGTTAGTCTAAGTTCATTCATTCATTCATTCATTCATTCATCTGCTGAGTACCTACCAGGACCCAGGTTCCATTTTACATCTTGAGGAGATCATGGTGAAGGTGACGTATGTCTGTCCTCTCAAGAAGTTTCCAGTTTCTAGTGGTGAAATGGATCATTGCAATACAATATTATAGTAGTTTAAGGACTTAAATGTAATGAGAATATACAAAAAGGGGATGATAAGTCATTTGAGGGTGATCCAAGAAGTCTTCCTAATGGAGACTTGGAAAAAAGTGGTGTTTTTGGCAAGCAGATAGGGATGGGATCTGAAAAAAGGCAGATATCATTGGGAAAAACAAATTCAAGCAGAGGGAATAAAATGAGCAAAGAAATGGGGGCATAAGAGAGCCCTGGGTTACGTGGGAAAGGACAGACAGGAGCATTTGGTGTGTAGCTGGACAAGGGGAAGCATTTGGTGTGAAGCTAGAGGTGAAGTAAGGGCTGGTTCCAGAGGGGGCTTTTATGGAATGCTGGAAATTTTAGTTTTGTTCTATTGGACCATAAGGGGCTATTGAGGAATTCTTAACAGAGAAGTGATATAGTCAGTTTTAGGAATATAATTCTGTGGCAGTTTACAGTATGGTCAGAGGTGGACAAAAGATGAGTGTCATTTAGGAAACTCTTTCAGTAGTCCAAGAAAGCAATGATCAAATAGGCTAATAGTGGTCGATTAGAGGGTAGGGATAAGGATTCAACAAATATTTAGTAGGGAGAAGCCATAGCATTTTGTGTTGGTTAAATATGGGAGGGAATTGAGAAAAAATAAAAGTGTGGATTTTCTTTTCAATGTATTGAGCATTTACAATGTCCCAGCACTTTACACAGATGACTTCATTAATTGCCATTCCAGCTTGATGAGGTGTAGATATTATGATTATCCCATTTTACAGATAGGCTACCTGAGACTTAGAAGCTAAATCTTGTCCAAGATAAGTTAATAAAGGGTGAGCTGGGATTTAACCCCAGCAATCTGACCTGGAGCCTGCCTGCCTAATTGTGATGCTAAATTGCATCTCCCTGGTGGCTCCTTTTTCAGTGATGGCAAATCCAGGAAGGGGAGTAACTTTGGGAGAGAAAGAGATGACTAAAGGCCAGAACAGAGACCATTCTTTTTCCCATTTACCATAATATATAACTATATAATTCGTAAAACTAGCTTATACTGCTTTTTTGATTAAAAAAAAAAAACTCAGCTGGTAATTCAACTGCTAATATTATCTTGAATCAGTTTAAATATCTGCAGACTCAGACTTTAGTCTAATGCACTAATGAAAGGCTTAGATGCTGGTTTTGTTTTTGTTTTTGTTTTTTTTCCCTCACATGGTAGTCATAACCAACGCTAGGTCAACCAAGCATTTTTATCAGCTTTTATTACTTTTGCTAATTAAGTGAGAGTAGATGAAGAAACTGATTTAATTAGAAGGTGAAATTCAACATCCTAGCTGCTTTTATGATTATGAACAAAAGTAAGAAATTTGAATACAAATATGTCACTGGCACAGAAGTTCAGCTTCGCATGCTTATGAGCAATGCTCAGGGCCCCCATAGTCAAAACAGTCCTATGCTTAGGGTTTAAAGCTCTGTATCCAAGGTCATGAAATTCTTAATAATTTTATCTTTAAATTTGTATTTCAGAAATGAAGTCTGATGAGACAAGGAGCATGTATGTTTAGGGCTTGGAAGTCTCAGTTCCTATGAGGTCCCTCCAACTTCCTACCTCTCTGACATAGATTCTCGGCCATCTGCTCCTGGCCCTGTGGGCCCTGCCTGGCCTCCAGCTCCATCTCTCTGTCCCTGTCCCATCATTGCTACTGTTCTCTACCTGATATGGTGATTGGGTATGTCAGCAGGGGAGGCCTGTGTTTACCTTTACCCTCCTCCCCTATGGATTTGTGAATGCAGACAAGGAAAGGATCAGAGTACAGTATGTGCCCTGCTGAATCTTTGGGTGAGGCAAAAAAGAAGCCATCCTTAACCAGGCTGGTAGCACTGTGGTACACTCAATGGGTGATTCAGTGGGGCCTCTTGCCCACCTCTAATCCAGGTACCAAGTGCATCATGATGGCATGGAGGTTACAATCTCTTGGGAATCTCCTGTCTACCATCATTTGGGACATTGGTCTATGGGAAGAGAGATTGACTTCCTCACTCCCTGCTTGGGCCCCACACTTTCATTTTGTACTGGGTACTCCCAAAATTATGTAGCTGGCCTTGTCTTTCTTTGTTACAAATGCATAGACTGAACTTTGTTAAATATGAATTCAGCAGATGTGTAAGTGCCTGTCGTAATCATAGTGCAAGCCCACTGCCTTAGAAAGAAATAACATAAAGATTAAGCATGAGATGATAATGTCTAAGATATGTATATTTAACTAATAATCAAGTAAAAAACAAAGAATAATTAGCAAATTAACAAGTTAGAGTCTTATTTTGACTTCTGTGGTGAAGAGTAATAATAAAAATAAAATAGTTCTCAAATCTTTCCTAGAGACATCAGTATAGGTGGAAGTTGTATGAACTATAGTTTGCTAAATCAAATACGACAAGTTGAAAATTAGATCTTTTTCTCAAAGTCCAAATAAGTTCAAGTTTATTAAGAAGCAACATGACTTCAGTGAAGTTAGAGATTTTGAATTTAAAAAATAGACAAAATACTGGGGTTCCTGGGTGGCTCAGTTGGTTGAGCGTCTGCCTTCAGCTCAGGTCATGATCCCGGGGTCCTGGGATTGAGCCCCGAGTCCGGCTCCCTGCTCAGTGAGGAGTCTGCTTCTCTCTCTCCCTCTGTCCCTCCCCCCCTCCACTTGTGTGAGCTCTCTTTCTCTCTCTCTCTCTCTCTCACTCTCTCATGGGCGAGCTCTCACTCTCTCAAATAAATAAAATCTAAAAAAAATAAATTAAAAAAAATAGACAAAATATTATAGCGAATGCCAGAAATATTTAAAGCATGCTAACAATGATCTTGATAATTGATTCCATTGTATCTAGAATAGCTTTCTATTAGTGTTTAGCTGTGGCATAAATAATATTCCCTTTAGTAAGCTGATTGACATTTCCTACCTCCAAATCACAGAAAATATTAGCATGCAATGTGTCCACTTAGTTACTTTAAAAAATTATTACAAACATCTTAAACCTTTAAGTAACTGGGTTGCATTTTATTTTTATGATTCATGTTTTGTAAGACACACACTAATCAAGTTGGGTTGATATTGCTGCTATACAGCTAGAAAAGGCCAATAAGTTGTGACTCCCTAGAAACCTACCTTCCATTTGGTGCATCAGGGTATACATTCTTGGGATCCCTCTTTGTTTCACTGAGCAGTGACTTGGCAGTAATTATAGAAAATAGCCAGTTCACATGGGAGAAGATGACTATATCCACCTGTCCTGAGACCCGAGGAGCAGCTTCATGGCCTGCCGGTAGCCCTTGCCTAACAGCCCCACTGCAAACAGAACAGTGCTGCTTCCCAAACTTTCCAAATACCATTTGAGAAATCTTGGATTCCAAACTGTGCTTGATGTCCATCTTATCCCAGATGCTCTTGGGTGTGAACACCATGGTAGACACACAATGGGGTTTAACCTTGACCCTCCACACCCGTGGCCTCGTCCTGACATTGACCAGAGGGCTCTAATCAGCTTGTCTTCTCTTAGGTGCCTCACTCCTGATGCAGAAGCCCGCCCAGATATCATAGAAGTCAGCTCGATGATATCAGACGTCATGATGAAGTATTTAGACAACTTGTCTACATCTCAGCTGGCTTTGGAGAAGAAGCTGGAACGGGAACGGAAGCGCACACAGAGGTACTTTATGGAAGCCAACCGGAATGCTGTCACATGTCACCATGAGCTGGCTCTGTTATGTCATGTAAGTGCACAGCTGTCATTGTCTTCGCGATGTGCTCCAATAAGGTCACCTGAAATGGTTCAGGCTTGTCTTAGGGAAGATTATCTTAAGTTAGGAAAGTATTAATTGCTACATGCAGTATTTCACTATTATATAGTTCCAGATTTGCATCCCTTTACAGGTCTTATAATTAAAATTAAAGTCAATATAAATGATTTTCCATTGAACTACCCCTAATTTATTGTATATTGCAAAACAAGAGGCCTCAAAAAGATCCCTTAGCAATTCTTTAAGCTTATATTATGCTCTTTGTATAGTTAGCAATGAATATGTATATTTTACTTCTTTAGCAATCTGATTTGGGGAATATGGATGAAAATGTTATATGTTAATCAGAAAAGGAAATAATAATCACCTTAAAATTTTGTCTTTTTAGTCTAGTTGCTTTTATTACTGTTTGTGGTGATAATAATGCTGCCATGCTTCAAATAAGAATAAGTCCTTTAATTTTTCTTGCCAGTAACCTTTATTTCTGAGTAGAGCTTGAAAAAGGCAAAAGCTACAAATGTCCACATGTGCAAGTGACCATGCCAGTGATGCTCTTGTTGCTGTCTCTCGTTTTCCCCCTGTGCTTTTGTTGTATCATGACCCATGATCCTTCCTTTGCTCATGCTCCAGGCTCCCTCAAGCAGAGATCCAGTCAGGGACCCTTCAACCTAGTAAATATTCTTTTCTTCCCTCTTGGGCATGGGGCCCAAGGAAATAGGGTCATAACACTCACTCTTAATCAAGGTACTTGGTCATCAAATTCCTTTCCAGGACCCTAAAGACCTGTTCTGCCTCAGCTGAGAAAATAATATAGAGTTGATTTCAAAGAAGAGACAGCTGTGATTTCTTTTCCTTCCTTCCTTCCTTCCTTCCTTCCTTCCTTCCTTCCTTCCTTCCTTCCTCCCCTCCCTCGCTCCCTCCTCTGATTTCTTGGATAATAGAGTTTCCATCAAACTCCTTTCTATTAAAAGGAAAGCACTACTGTGTGGTGTGTTTGTCTTGACATACTTGGAATCTGGAAGTTGAAGATTCAATATAGTTTTCTTCTGGGGGGAAAAATTCATCTTTATTGCCTTGCTGAGTCCAGCTGTAATTTCACAGAACAATCCTTGGTGATTATCTAAGGCCTTGGTTTATGTTTAGAAGCATATAACTTGGGAGTTATAGCTCTTGCTGAACACAGTTAAATCTTATATACAGGAGTTAGAGCTCACTTTTCTTGTTATTTAACTACCTGACTTCGTAAAAAGTAGACAACAATGAGAAACACACCATTCTATGCATGTCATGTTGCATTCAGGGTGCAGTGTTCCCAGTAAACTAAAATGCAAGAGATTTAGCCATTTCTATGTATCTTAAGTATTTGAGGCCTTCTATTAAGTTCTGCACTACAAAGCTACTTAGCCAATTTCCAGTTGGATATAAAAGAGTCAGTTTCTATTAGATCCCTGTAGCTGATGTGGGGGTGGGTGGAGTTAGTTTAAAATCTACCAGCAGAAATCCTCTATCTTTAGTGAGACACCTTGAGAATGACTGTTTTGTTTATTTATTTACTTCTCAGTTTTTCTTTCTTTCTTTTTTTTTTAAACTCTTACTGTGGAAAATTTTATACATTTATAGAAATAAAGATATTACTTCATGTAGCCACCCCCCAGCTTCAAGAATTTGCTACTGCGGGCCAATCACATACTGTCTTTATGCCCACCCACTACCCACTCCCTGCCATCGTAGGTTATTTTGAAATAAACCCAAGACACCATATCATCTCATCCATCAATAATTTCAGTATGTATTTGGAGGACCATTTTAACTCTAGAAATCTAGCTCTCAGGCCATGACTGGGTTAAGCAAAGGGAGATATCTATAGTCGACGAGGGAGTTTTGAGGTTGTAGAGGTTCTGTACTCATCATAAATTAGGATGAAAATATTAACTATTTTAGAAAACACTAGGATTAAATAAGTTAATGTGTTTGAATAAACTGTGCAAATTAAAAAGTGGCACAAAATTAAAAGATAGCACCAGTTATATAAAATGAGCAGTGATTATGTTAAAAAAATAGTTGTTGATGCAACTTGCTAATCTAGTATTAGCTGGTCCATTAGTGCTAAATCCAAGTGTGGTTTTCATGCAGTTAATAAGTATTTATTGAACATGTGCTACTAGCCAGCCTCGATGCCCTCATGGAGCATTCAGTCTCATAGGGACCTTAGAGAAATGCTTTACCTCTAGGCAGAGTTTATATTACTACTTTTAAAGAACCATCAAATAGCTTCTCCTTTTGCACTATTTTATATGTACTGATAATTTTTCATCTCTGGATTAATCATATGTTAACTAAAAGGAAAAGTGCAGCCTTATTAAAGAACTGAGAAGGAAATACTACATTTCATCAAAAGACAGCATGCAGTTAATTGGCATTATCCTTGCTAAGTACCAATTATTATTTTTTAAAAACATACATTGACACCATTACTGATGGGAAAAATACAGGTATAAAATTTTATGTCTCTTTTTTCTCAAGTATTGTTATAGTATTATGATTGTTTCTTTCAAATATAGTGGAATGTCTCCCAGAGCAGTTAATATCAACCATACAATTACACAATCCAATGATAAGCAATAGTCAAAGGAAAGAGAAATTAATGAGTGCAGTAGAACTTTATGAATTCTCAGCACTGATAAGGAGATCCATTGTGAATTGCTAGAATTCTGCAAATTAGTTGGTGAACAAACAATTGATAAGAAACATTAAGGATCTTTTGTCATGGGGTGTATGCTACTTACTTTTTCACATCTTAGCTTATTCTTAATTATGGCAATAGGCCAGTAAAGACAGATATTAATATATATATTTCAAAAGGACAGAGAAGTCGTCGCTAATAAAGTTTACTCCTTTGTACTGTGGTTTAGACTCTATGAAAGAGAAGCAAAACTTTCTTTTCGAAGAATGTTAAGCTTCCTAATTTTTATAATTCAAAATAGATCACAAGGAGAGCAGAGTCAAGAATAAGAATCAAGCAGAGAAAAATAAGGTGTAATTTTTACTTAAATATGTAATAATAAAAGTCTATTGTGCTACAGAGGGTACTGTGGCATTGTAGTAGTCAAAATCATGATTGGCATTTTGGCATTATGCACAACATGTTAAATACACCAAATAGTTGCTCTTTGGCCATTATCTTATATCCCAGGCAGAAATATCGGTTGTAGACATTTCTAAACAGCACGCTGCAAATACAAGGATGAGTGTTAAAACGCAGCTTGGAAAAATGTGGATCATCAATAGAAAACTTCAATTTCATTCAGATTACTGGGATTTTGTGGATCCAGCTGTAGGCTACTATTAACATTTGTAAATAAAGCATATTTCTTTGTGTACAAATGGAGCAGATTTGAATGTACCAGGGAGACTGAAGGATAATCGTGAAAGAAACATGTTCTTGCAGGGTGAGTTGCAGGGATTTCTCACTTCTCTTTCAGTGATATTTGACAAGTACTTTTATCTTCATCACCTCTGTTTTAAAGCTGCGTGATTATTTCTTTCTACTAGTAGAGTGAGTTTGTTCAGTCTACAGAACTTTCACATTCATAAACCTAACAGGGAACAACACAAAAAGAGAAAAGTTGAAAATGCTTACAGTTTATAATTAATAAAAGAACAAAGATTTGTTGAATATCTTCTGAATGTAAGACATTGTGCTTGCTATTGTGAAGGTTATAAAAAATTATAAGGAGTGGTCTCAGTTTTGAAGTGACTTACACAGTCCACCTGGGAAGCCAAGACATATATGCAGGAGGAAATCTGGGTAAATACCAAATGAGATCTCTGGCTGATATAGTTCAGGGAGGCTCCCAAAACAAGTGGGGTAAGTTTGGGCCTTGAAAGTAGGTAAGGAGTCACTCCTGGATGGAAAAGAATAGCAAAAGTACATGAGCTCCAGATATACCAGCTTAGCATACTTAGGACTACTAATCACATTTTAGAAATGGTATTATTTTATGTTTTAATTTAATAGGCAAGAAAAGGGAAACCAAGAGAAGAGACTTGTCCAAAGTCACCAAGCTAGTTTGCTGGTTTCAGACCTTGGACTGAGAGTTGGATATCCTGATTTATAATGCATATTTTGATATGTATAGTTTGGAAAGTCTGGGAGAGTAGGCTGGTACTAGATGGTAGAAGTTTGCGGAGTACCTAGTCATTAGGTATTCATACCTAGTGTTTGGATTTAATCCTGGGTAGTGTGGACTAAAGCCTTGTATTTCTTCAAAGTAACTAACAACTAGATTATTAACTGAAGGCTAATTCTTCCTTATCATTCATATCTCCTTCTTGAACTTTTTTTTCCCTGTGGTTTCGACCACACTCCTTTGTCCTGGTTTCCATCTTATGTCTCTGAACACTCTTTTCTTATTCTCTCTTCCAACCCTGGACTCTTAAGTTTCTATGTTCTGCTTCTCTTCTTGCTCTTCTCTTGAGTGAGCTCTGTATGGTTCCATAGTTTTTCATTTCATATGAATTTGGATAAAAATTGGTTGTACAAAATGAGAACTTTATCTTCCATAATCATATATCATTTTGGTTTGAACCCCTGTTCCTGCTGATAGCAGAAAATGGAGGATATAGGCATTAACACTTACATCAGATGTTTTGGTCTAAAAGTTTCTCTCCCATTTCAAGGGCTCTCCTCTCCATCTCCCTCTCCCAAAATGGCAGCTTGATACAGGAGGAAGCTTAGGCATCCTCACGCCAATGGGAGGGGACTCTGTGTTGCCTTCTTCTTTTGGCCTCTGTTGGCTTTAGATGAGGTGAACCTATCCCTGTGACTTTGGGGGACCTACCGTGGCATCCCTGTTTTGAGCTGTCTTCTCTGTGCTCCCTCCATGCAGTGATAACCTGGTGGACTCACCAGTGAGCACTGTATCCATTTCTACATTCCCACTGTGGCACGTGGGAGCTTCAGATTCCCACCT